AACAGTCGATACTGGAGATTTCAACAATGATACTTGGATAGATGTCGTCGTTGCTGTTGGCAGTTCTTATGATGTGGGTGTCTTTCTTGGAGGTCCAGATAAAAACTTTTTCAATATAAAGACATATTCAACTGGTGGTCTATCTAATCCGTATTCAGTTGCTGTGGGCGATTTTGACAATGACACGCGACTAGATGTCGTCGTAGTAAATTATGGCAAAGATGAAATAGGTGTGTTTCTTGGACAAGGAAACGGCAATTTCGATGCAAGAAAGACATATTCAACAGGATCATATTCTAGGCCAGGGTCAATCGCCGTTGGTGACTTTAACAGCGATAATCGACTTGATACCGTCGTGGTCAATTTTGGCACTAACGAACTCGGAATTTTTCTTGGATATGGCGATGGAAGTTTTACAGATCAAAAAACATATTCTACTGGATGGAATTCTCAGCCTAAGTCGGTGGCCGTTGGTGATCTTAACAGCGACAATCAGCTTGACATTGTCGTCGCTAATGTTGGCACTGACAACCTAGGAATTTTTTTTGGCTATGGCGATGGAAGTTTTACAGATCAAAAAACATATTCAACAGGTCTGAGTTCTCAACCAACTTCGATTGCCATGGGTGATTTGAACAATGACACTCATCTGGACATCGCTGTCGCTAATTCTGGCTCTAATACCTTAGGTATTTTTCTTGGACATGACAATGGAAGCTTTTCTGATCAAATTGAATATCCAACAGGATCGAGCTCAACGCCGAATGCGGTCGCTATTGGTGACTTTAACGGCGATAATCAACTCGATGTCGTCGTCGTGAATTCTGGCACTAACAATCTAGGTATCTTTCTTGGAAATGCAGACGGGTCTTTTTCTAATCAAACTGAATATCCAACCGGAGAGAGACCCAGGCCGAATTCAATTACTGTTGGTGATTTGAATAATGATACCAAATTAGATCTTATCGTAGCTAATTACAACGATAATAATATAGGGGTGTTACTTGGAAAAGGTGATGGAAGCTTTTCAACTCAGACATCGTATTCCACTGGATGGGATTCTTTTCCAATTTCAGTCGCTCTTGCTGACTTCAACAGCGACAATCGATTAGATATAGTAGTTGTACTCTATTTTTATTTCTCTATAGGTATCTTTATTGGATACTACGATTGGCCTTTTACAGCTCCTGTAATGTATTCAAGTGGTTCACTTTTGACACCGTTCGCACTTGCTGTAGCAGATTTTGACAATGACAATCAGTTGGATCTTGTTGCCACTGATTATAATGACGGTAGTTTAGTCATTTACCAAAACTTTGCCAATGGAACTTTTTCAAATTCTAAATTATATTCAACCGGTTACATCACTGGTTTGTATTCTATTGCAGTAGGTGACTTCAATAATGATCTTCAAGTCGATGTCGTGGTTGTTAATTATGATAGTGACAATATTATCTTTTTTCTCGGATACGGCAATGGAAGTTTTGGGAGCGTTATATCATACACAACTGGACTGGAATCTGGTCCTTGTTCAGTTGTAGTTGGTGATTTCAATAATGATAACCGATTGGATATTGTTAATGCCAATAATCGTGATAACAGCATAGTTTTATTTCTTCATTATGGCTTCGGAGCATCTACAAATAAAAAAATATATTCAACTGCTTCTGACAAACCGTCACGCTCGTCTGCATATGGAGATTTCAATAAAGACAGTCTATTGGATATGGTTATAGCTAATTACGAGAGCTTCACTATAGCTGTGCTTCTTGGCGATGGCAATGGTGGTTTCTCGAATCAAACTACATACTCTACCGGATTTGGATCTTATCCGTTCTCAGTTGCAGTTGGCGATTTCAATAGCGATGGATGGATGGACATCGTTGTAGCCAATATGTTGACTTTCAATATAGGTATATTTCTTGGAACTAGTAATGGAAGTTTTTCCGAACAAACTATATACCCAACGGGACCAGATTCTAAGCCAACAACGGTTGTTGTTGGAGATTTTAATAATGACAGCCGATTGGACATCGTTGTAACCAATTATGGTGGTTACAGTATAGGGGTCTTTCTTGGCAATGGTGACGGGACCTTTTCAAATCAAACAGAGTACTCAACTGGCTATTATTCATGGCCATGGGGAATCACGATTGGTGATTTCAACAACGATGCTCGATTGGATGTTGTTGTCAGTAATCAGTATGGTTACAGTATTGGTGTATTTCTTGGAAATAGGAATGGGAGTTTTTCAAAACAAATCGAATATCCAACTGGAAAAAACTCTCTCCCGATTGGAATTGCTGCTGGTGACTTTAATAATGATAATCGAATGGACATTGTTGTGGCCAATCATGGTAGTGACAATGTAGGTGTGTTTTTTGGTAATGGCAATGGAATGTTTTTGACTCAAGTCACGTATTCAACTGGTTATGTATCTGGTCCATATTGGGTCACCGTTGGTGATTTTAACAAAGATGATCAATTGGATATTGCTGTTGCTCTTTCTCTTTCTGACAAATTAGCGATTTGCTTCGGGGATCGAAATGGAACATTTAGTAGTCCAACAACATTTGGAACTGGTACTTCAACTTATCCATGGCATTTGATAGCTGCTGATTTTAATCATGATAACTGGCTTGATGTAGCCATCGTCTTGGGAAATGTTGGTGGTGTCATTGTACTATTGGGGAACAGAAATTTAATATTTCTAGTACCTATAAAATATTCAACTGGTCGAAATTCTGCTCCACAAACTATTGTCGCTGGAGATTTTAATAATGATAAACATTTAGATATAGTTGTGACAAATAGTAAGAGTAGTAATATTGGTTTATTTCTCGGATATGGTGATGGACTCTTTTCAAAGCAACTAACATTCTCCACTGGTACTGATTCACAGCCATGGTCAGCTGCTGTTGGTGATCTTAACAATGACACTCGACTTGATATTGTCGTAACAAATCGTAATAGTGACAGTATAGGAGTTTTTCTTGGACTTGGAAATGGATCGTTTAGCAATGTCACAATTTATTCAGCCGGTTTGCTTTCTGATCCAATATCCATTGTTATTCTAGACTTTAACAGGGACAGCAAACTAGACATTGCTGTTGTCAATAGTGGTGCCAACAGTATCAGCATATATCAAGGATATGGTGATGGAGTCTTTTTAAGCCCAATGACATACTTAACTGGTTATAATTCTCGTCCAGTTTGGATCGTCATTGGTGATTTCAATAAGGACGACTGGATGGATATTGCTATAGCCAGTTTAGGTACAAAAAACATAAAAGTTCTTTTGAAATCATGTTAATTTTTTTACATTTATCTACTGTGTATTCTTTACTCTCAATAAAAATTGAATGTTCTGCATTTATTTACTTTTTCATACAGTAATAATTGTATTTCGAAAAAATTATGTTCTTGAGATGAACAGTTAGCGAAGGACACAAAACTGATATTATTAGAAATCGATTAACATCAGCAATGGCGTAAATCTATTTTTACACGACCAGTTGCATGTATTACTAATTAAGCATAAGTTGCTTGAGTTTAAACTTTCGCATTATAGCACGATTGTTTTTTTTTCTAGTTTTGGAATATAACATAAAAATACATAGGCCAATTCAAAAGTAGTGGCACTGACATTTTCTCAGCATTAATCTTAAACTGATGTCATGATAGGAAAATTACGACAAAAAGGGTGAGGGTGTGGGTGTGGGTGTGGGTGTGAATTTAAACAAGATCCACACCCACACCCCGATCAACGCACGGTCCGTTTACGATACGGATTCAATACGATCCATTTTGCTGCGTCAGATAATGCGGCTTAATACGGATCGAAAACGGAACGTACTGAATCCGTATATTTCCGTAAATACTCCGTTTTTACAGGGTTTACGGGCTGTTTTCGGATCGTAAATGATACCGTTTTGATCGACCTGCGTACTTTCGTTGTAAATAGGCTTTATTCATACATATGAGTAATTAGAATAACTAATCATACATATATACATTTAAAATATAGGTTACTATAAAAACTGCTATTTTTCACCCCTTGTTTTGATCAGCATGGTATTTCTAACAATTACGCGGTAAATCTAATCTTCTTTTGTTTCTCTAACGACCTACCTCTATAGAATCATTGATGGTCTTACGTTGATTCATCTCAATAAAAATTTATTGACTATATCTACAGTTGATAAAAATAACAAAGTAATAAAAACGAAAGGAATTAATTTAATAATAACTGTGTGTAATCTACTTTTGCGCGTAATAGAATAGATAATATCGACTAGAAACAACGACGAGAAAATTCTTCGTCATTTTATGAAAAGATGTCAGCCAATCTGTCAGACATTAGAATGACAAAAATAAAATGAAGTGACAATCAATAATTTGCCATCTGTGATCATATCATCATTCAATATTTTTGTCATTGCTCTTTACTTTTATCTACGTGCAGTACAAATACAAGTTGTTCGACAAATATCATATAAAACAAGAATAAGTTTGATTGATGAAACATATTTGATCAATAATATGATTTTTTGACAGATAGACACCACTATACAGAAAATGTATTTTTAGTACTAAAAGACCTAACGTTGAAATCAGAGCGTATTTAGGTGCTCAAATATTTATTGAAATGCATTGAAGTATCGTTATATAAAATATTTGCATAAGACAAAACTAAAATTATGGTGCTATAATGCGAAAGTTTAAACTCAAGCAACTTATGCTTAATTAGTAATACATNCCTCCATGAAAAAATACTATTTTCTACCATGTACATTATTTTTCCTATTTGTGAAAAAGTAAAATTTCCTTTGTTGAGTTCATTGGTGCTACTTAACACAGATTCTTCCTGACCCTGTTCTTATAGATATAAAGCTTGAAGATGCCTCTATCATTGATAAAAAAATCAGCTTCTTTGCTCGAGCCATAAGGAAGATATTTAATTTTTTTTGGGTAACATGATTTTTGGGCCACCCTGTATTTCATTTTGTTATAATACTTACTCTTGAATAAGTAAAAATACAAACAATTCCAAAAGCAAAAAGTGCCAATGACATTATGAATAAAATACCAAAACATGATGTAAAATCATATTTTGTTTGAAATGAAAATAATGTAACACCCAAACAAACAACTATTGTTATACCAACAGCAATTAATACTGATTCAACTTCATAATGTGCTGAAATCATACCCATCTAAAGTTTTTATAGACAAAAAAAAAAAAAAAACTTAATAAATATTGCTTTAATCGAATCATACCATATAACCCATTGATAATGTCTAAAATACAAAATTTCTTTTTTTTTTTTAATTAAATTAATTTTATATTTTACCAAAATGCCAAGTAAAATAAGATTAAGTGGAAATTTTCGTCCAGCACTTTTGCAACAGACCAACACAAAATAAGTAACCATAAAAACAACATATGATGTGAAATAAAGCCATTGACCACTCGGACTTCGTACGTATTGATAAATCGATGGTCTACATTATATATCGTATAGTCACTTTCAATTGTTTTTTATTAGAAAAAAAAAACATACGTAAATAGAAATAATGCAATAAGACCAAATGTCATCGCTAATTGAATCATAAGAATTGAATAAACCTATTTTATATAAAAAATTATTAAAATCTTTCTTTTTTTTTTTTGTAGGTTTCGATCAGTATATACCTTTCGAATAAATACACGACGAATTTCTTTGCTTTCAAGACCAGTAAAATTTCCCCATTGACCTCCTTCGCCTTGTTCACCATCTTTGTAAGAACAAAAATAAAAAAGAAATCTCAATTATAATTAAATTTATATATTCAAATATGAATATATAATCTTAAAGAGATTTTATTTTATCTTAACAGTTTATATCTTGTACAAATGCGCATTTATATGATTGAATATTTTTGTGTCCTATATCAATAATAAATATTTCGATGTACAGGATTTTATGCAGCGTGAGAGATTATGAGAGAACGATACTCTTCCCAAGATCGACTTGGCTCTTTCGAAGAAAAAGCAAATCTCAGTAAAACACTAGTAGGTCTAGTGTGATTCATTTTGATTTTATTGCTTCTTCCATAAAATATAAGATTAGAAAAAAAAAATCTTTTTTTGCAGATTTTTAATCGTAGTTTCTTGTCATTTCAATAGGTTTTTTTTGATTCGTTTCTTAACGGTACTCTTAATATCAAGGATATAACTATGAAGAATATGCAATGAATAAAGTTGAAATTCGATTAAATAATCAAAAGGTTTTTATACAATCGTAGACAATATTATATTGTAAAATAAGATTTGATCAAAATTTTCCAAGAATACAAAAAAAGAAAGCATAGCAACGTTTTTTTTCTTCTCTCAAATTTGAAATAAAAATAAAACATACTTAGAAAAATACTTTATCATCAAATAATAATATCAATTTTTAATACCTTAAAACCTACAGATACATCTGTATATTCAGAATCTGTTATTAACTTTACAAAAGAGTTTCAATTATTAAAATAAAATTAACCTTTGGCAAAGTCAGGACGTGGCAATACAGGAGGTGGTTGAATTGGTATTTCATTTTGACTACAGCCAACACCTATAAGAGTATATAAATAAGACATAAAAATCATTCAATTTAAAAACATACCGGATTGAGTTGGACACGGTATATATCCAGCCGGTTGTTGAGTTGGATAAGGCATAAAGTCAACCGGTTGTTGAGTCGGATAAGGTACATATCCAAATGGTTGTTGAACTGGATAAGGTTGGTAACCTTCGGTTGGTGGATAAGGTGAATTGTCTATATTTTGATTTTGATTCATTATGTTTATATATTCTAAAAAAGAAATTTTAATTATTATTAAAAAAACAAAAAAACAAAGCATTATCAGAGTAACGAAGTCTCTCATTAAACAAAATGGCAAATGGGTATTTTCTTCTTCAGATAGACGACTCACGTTATTGGCTATATATATAGAGAGAGAGAGAGGAAAGAAAAAATAACAGTACGCACTTAGAATAAAAACAAAATAGCAACACAACAACATCAAGAAATGCACTTCTATGCGCCATCTATAGCTTCAGAAGGCACAAGACCATTTGAACAGTAGTGAATGTCATCATCGTTAAGAGATTTCCTTGAAATCATGTCTTTTTCAAAACAAGAGAGAGAAAGCAAAAGATTCTCGATAGAAAGTTTCTATTGGTTCAAATAAGTCATTATTCACTTGTGTCGCCACCCACCAAAAACGGTCTCAAAAGTGTCTCTCTATCTTAGTCACTTCAAATAAAAAGAATAAAAATTCTCACAAAAAAAAAAGTGTTCTCACATATGATTTCTTGCTATTGATTCAGTCAATCATCAGACTTCGATGGTGCGCTATTAAAGTGACTCAAGGAAAGTATACAATTGAAAACTAAAACTCAAAATAACACTTTGTAGATAGGTACACTTCCAATATTTTGACACGCAAATTTGACCAATCAATAATAAATGTCCTGAGTTAGATGTTTTCTGAAGAAAATGTTTTAGAAAAATGAGATAGCCATTTTTCTAACATGTACTGATTCTCTCTATATAATTTATTTCCAGTTACTGTATTGGTTTGTTTACTTTAATCAATGAGTATAAAAGAACAAAAGATGGCGCACATGTCTATATCGATGGAAGCGATTAGAAAAAGCATTAGTTTAGATAAATATTTATATTTGAACAAAAATAAATAAAGCAGGATGTGAGTGTCGCTCTTCTCTTCATGTACACTCTATTTCATTGGTTATAATATTTATTTAGTAACTGCATCGTAAGAAAAAATAATAGGAACTTTCAGGTAGAATGATCATCCCAATATACATAGAGCAAGTAAAAATGAACATCTCCTTAAAAAAAAATTTCTTCGAAATTTTACACAAAAGAAAGAACTATTGTCAATAAACTTACCATATAATGGATCTTGAGAATTTGTTGTTATATAATCTTCACTTATTGATTCCAGTCCGTTAGAAGGCGATGATGTTATAAATGGTCGATTGTTACCTTTATCAACTTCCTTCACAGAATTCATTACTGTATCAACATATAACTTTCTATCGGGTGTCCCATAAAGAATTGTGCTGTTAGTATTTTTGACGTTTCTCCTATATTATCCCTGTGATTAAAACACTCTTTTTTTATCAAAAGATAGCCCTTGAAATTCTCTACAGAACCATTCATGGTTAGGCCCAAAAACTGATTTAAATATATTTGAAAAAGGATGAAACGTAAAGACATACAAAAAGCTGTAAAAATTAACGGGTTGGGCATAATGAATGGTTGCGCTTTGCATCTAATTTTTCATCACTTACTTCGCTCTATTGAAAAAAAAACAAAATATATCAAAAGATGCAGCTTGAAAAGCTCTACAATTTACATAAGACTTTTTGTTTTCAAAATGGACAAAATTTCGATCGTGCACAAATGATATATTTTTTTCGTGCAATGTGAATTCGTTTTTTTTTCTTATTTCATTTTTTTATAATTGTTCTTTATAAATTGTAGAGCTTTTCACGCTGCATCTTGTGGTGTATTTTTTTAAATAAAACATATCAGGTAATAACAAGATGAAATAAGAAAAAACGAATTCATCTTGTACCAGAACAAATATCATTTTCGCACGGTTGAAATTTGATCGCTCAAAATTTTGCCTATTTTGAAAACAAAAGGTGCAACTATAAAATAAGCGGGCTTACGTAAATTATAGAGCTTTTCAAGCTGCATCTTTTGGTATATTTTGTTTTTTAATAGGGCGAAGTGATGAAAAAATTGGATGCAAAGTGCAGCCATTCATTATGCCCAATCCGTTAGTTTTTACAGCTTTTTGTATGTCTTTGCTTTTCAACTTTTTCAAATATATCTAAAATAATTTTGGGGCTTAGTCATATATGGTTTTGTAGAGAATTTCAAGGGCTATCTTTTGATAGAAAAAGAGTGTTTTAATCACAGGGATAATACAGAAAAAATTTCAAAATGCTAACAGTGCAATTCTTTATGGAACACCCGATATAATCATCTTTTATTTTCGACATTTTTTTCTGCTAGTATACGATACCAATTTTGTGCAACGGTTTGCTCATTTTCATTATTTCCTTACCAAAGAACAATGGATGGATGTGATTGAAGTCGTTTTACTTGATAAATTACTTCCTTATGAATATTGATTAGAAATAGTTCATCAATTGGATACCTGAAAATAGAAGATTACGAAGAGAAAAAGAAAATATTAATTATGAAGTATTTCACTTACAAACTACATGCAAACATAAAATCATGCCAAAGCATAATGCCTAAACGATCAGCTATTTCATAGAATGAATCACGTTCATATAAGCCACCACCCCAAACACGTAACATATTCATATTAGCTAATTGAGTTGAACGAAGTAAACGTTCAAGTTTTTCATCAGTTACACGTTCTTGAAATGAATCTGGAGGTACCCAATTACTTCCTTTAATATAAATTGGATGACCATTAATAATAAAATAAAATGATGTTCCATTGATAGTTGAACCATAACTATGTTGAGCAAGTTCAACGGTTCGAAAACCTATCAAACGTGATCCAACTAGTTCTCCTTGGTTATAAACAGATAATGTATATAATGATTGATCACCATATCTATTTGGCCACCAAAGTTGAACGTATTCATTAGGAATCAATAATGAAATTGATATATTATGACTTAAATGTGATATTAGATTAAAATATAAATGAAGTATTTTCTAGTACAAATTTTAATTGACTCATAAATGGTTCATTGATGCTATTCAATAAAACATCAACTTGCCATCGATTGATGGATGTTTGATAAGATGCAACATTGACACTCTCAAGTTTGATTGATATAGTTGCATTATTCATTGCTTGAAGATAGAGATTGTCTGTAATACCAATTGAAGCAAATGCTGAAGCCTATAAAAAAGAAAAGAATTATTTAGTAGAAATTATTTGTTGTCTAGAAAGTGCTATTTAAAAATTGAAATAATAATATTATGTATTGAATTTTACCAAACTTTAGCAAAATCAATATTTGTTCGAACAATTGAAATATGAAGAATTTTTCTAAGTTTATTATATTCTCATCCAATCCCAACTGAATGAACATGGTTCTTTTCGTATAAATTGAACATGACATTCACCATATTGCATATCAGGTGGACAATCTGGTGGAACACTATCATTATATGTTCGACTTTGATTTAATGCATACATCACTGGTGAATCAAAATCAATTCGAAGTTCATTATTAAATTGCAAACAAGTTCTTATCACATTAAATGTGTAGTCAATAAACATACTATTTGTTTGACCAATAAAACATTCATTCAATTTTATATTAGTAACTGTATCGATTTGGTCAAAATGAAATGTAAATTGTGTCAATGTAAGAAAATCATCTGTCAATGAAAAATTCTTTCGAAATGTCCATGAAGTGTAAATTAAATAGCGTAGATTAACATCATTATAACCCCAATAAGGTTCCGTAATTTGATTTGCAGCAAGAAGAATAGTATGAATAGTACCAGGTATTTGACCTTGCACAAAATAGGATTCATTATTATTTATCGTCCAACCATGACCAGTTAATGGAACAATAATAGAATTTGATGAACCGAAGAAAGAAAGAAAAACAAGAAAAATTAAATATGTATAAGACAATTGTTGACGCATAAGATGTTTATTTTAATTATAATTCCAGCGAACTAACAAAACAAAAGTAATCCGTTTGTATATCTCCGATTGTATCTCATCAACGAAAAATATAATATTTATCTTAGTCTAATGTTTTGTATTTTTCTGTCTTTTTTTTTTTTTTGGTTTGTCAGTTGCGTCTCTTTCTTTTTATATATTTGATACTTATCACCGTTACGATCTTTTAGAATAAATAGCGCTAGTTGACATACACGGCATGATAATGTAGGAATGTTTATCTTTGGTAAGCTGTATAAAAGACGTCTCGTTTTCGTTTTCTTTTATTAAAAAAAGTACTTGACCTCTTACAAAATTCGACTACTATGGATGAATTTGATCAAAATTTTTATGATCTAGAGATGATAATGGATAGCTTTAACAATCAGCAAAGCTATTTGATACAGTCACATCTAACAAATTTTGTGCCTTGTTCAAACAAGCTATAGAGAAGTTTAACGTGTTTGACTGATGAGCGAAAGTCCTCATATGTTAATCTGAGTTATTTTTAAGGTACTTGAAAATATCATATCTTCTAAAAACATTATTATGAGACTTTCAATAGAAGTCTATGATTTCAATAGTATTATAATTTAAAATCATCTAGATTCTCAAGTGAATAAATCCGAGTTGATTCTACACATATTCATATGTCAGATTTAATTTGAATATCAACAGTTCTGCAAGTATAGCTTCATTAAATATTTTTCATACATATTCTCAAAAATTTGTTATATGTGATTTTTCATTTTGAGTAATTGTTGTGATTGCGTTATGTATCTGCTTCTGTCATGCAGTTCGACACAACAGTAGTAAAATACTAAAGATTTCTTCCATTCTTTCTCTAATATAAAACCGATTAAATATTCCAGAGATTGAGAGCACTATTCTTGATTTGTGATTAATCGCAAGGATGCATCTTTCTATGACTTACGAAATGCTCACTTCTCAAAAAAGAAAACTGTTATATTTTATTTGTTATGGCCTGTAAAGTTAAACAGGTCATAGGTCATCTCACTTGGCATATCATCATCTTATATATATATTTTCTCTCTTCTATCTTTCCAGAATCTTCGCGTAGGCGGGTGTGGATGTGGGCTATCGTTCTGTATCCGCTAATGCATGTGGTGTGCATGTGAATGTGTGCCTTCTGTTCTTTACATCCACACCCTATATTTTTCACATTTTAACCTCGAGTATTGATAATAATAGTTTGCATATTGTCTTTCGAAAAATTTATGTAATAATCGTGACTATTTTTTTTTTTCATATCTTATTTTGTGAATAGTTCGAAAGAAATATATATATATATCATGAAGGTGACGAAAACAAATATGATTCATTAGAAAGTCAAAAATAAAAGAAGCAGAACATAGAACGAATAGTAGAAAAAAAAATGAAAATGCCCCCGGTGAGGCTCGAACTCACGACATCCGCATTGCTCCAATACTGTGTATAAGTACGGCGCTCTAATCCGACTGAGCTACGGGGGCTATAGAAATGTGAAACCTGTTGAATTGATATTCACAACATGTGCATATCACAGATGTTCATATATTAATATTTAGAAATTAAATTAGTAAAGCTCGTTAGTGCAGCCGCTTTAAGGCTGAAATGTGGAGCTCAAATATATTCTTTAGGATCATTATGCAAATATAAAATATGTAAAGTGAAAAATCTATCGTAGACTATAGTTCTGTTCCAATATAATACGGATCAGCAAAGTAAAAATTTATCTTATTTATTTCTGTATGTCGAACAGATTTTTTTTTTCGCACACTCTACTTCTTTATTTGCATAAATACATACCCATCAAATATCTACAGCAGCAGTTTTTTATCTTGATTATATGAAAACTGCGGCAAATTAATGTATCGTTACCCATCATCTTCGACATCTTGAATATATTTCTTTTATCTACACAAAAATCAAAAACTATACTATTCAAAATATTGGCAAGAGCATTTCAATCATTCAAATTTCGATGAAGGCTGTAGAATATTTTAGAAGAGTCAACCTCATATCGTTAATTTTGTTGAACTTCTTTTTTCTCGATTGCTTTTATTTGTCATAGGCAGGGAAGAGCCACAAAACTTAAACTAAAAACTTACAATTACTATTTTCTTCGAAAAATATATGTGGATTCCACGAAATTATTAGATTTATCAATAATAGACTTTCAAATACATGAAAGGATATCTTCGTTTCTCACCATTTTTTGTTATCAATTAATAGCGATAAATAATTACATCAGTTCTTTTTTTTTAAATTTATTATGTAGTTGACATAAATTTAAAGAGAACAAACTGTCATACTTAATTACACTTGTTTCTATGACATTTTATCATGTTAACGGCAAAAATAAAAATTAGACTACTGTGTTTTTTCATTATCTTATATACTGAGAATGTGATGTGGATGCAGCTATGAGTGTGTCTGAAGAGAGTTTCCTGATAACCACATTAACACCCTTTCTCCGATGTATAGCGATTACTTATCTTATTGAAAGTTTCACATTTTTTTGTCTATGTACGTTACAAGATTTGTTATTGCTCAGAACATATAAAATGTACATTAATAACATTGAGTTTGTCTTGCATACTACATTATGGCTGACTCAGAACCACCAGTTAAAAGCATGAAGGATGAATGCATCCGAGATGGTAGGGTAAGTATACATTGAAGCTTCTTTTTGATCGAATATCAATACACTTTAGTCTCAATCTTTTACAAATAGATTCAAAATGATCCATGTGCTGAGCATTCACCAGAAGTAAATCGTTATCATCTCTATGTCGCATATGCGTATCCTTGGGTAAATTTTCAGTTCTACCCGATATTCTCAATGATTTTCTATTGATGTCATGTTTTTTTCTACAGGCTCATCGAACACTTATCGTATTGAAATTGAAAGGACTCGATTATGTGATTTCGTATTCTGCCATCGATAGTTACCTTGCTTTCAAAATAGATGATGGATGAACATTCAGTAAAGAAACGCCTGACCACATCATTCAACATTTACCTATTTTAAACAAGTTTATCAATTAAATGATCCGAAAGTATAATGAAATTATCACAGTACCTGTTCTCTTTGATCTCAAAGTAAGGAAAACAAATGACTTAGTAAAGAGCATGTGTGCTAATTATATTTCATTTCGAATAAATTCTATAAGCAGAAAATAGTCAGAAATTAATCATTCGAGATCATAGTGACTATGGATGTGAATGTAAATGTGAGTATTATTGTAGATGAACAGACGATGCTTACCAACACGAAAAATTTTGAAATCTGTACCCGGTGAAAAATATTCCAATGAAAATCACGATCATTTTTGGTTATCAGTACATAAATCTCAATTTTTCTCTCAACGATCCACTTTTTGCACCATGACCAAATTAAAATCGATTGAAAAAAATCCAGTTCATGGATTTAAAATTGATTATTAAAAATTATCTGGGTTGTAGTTCGATTTAAATCAATTGCCAGTTCATTCAATTACTGAATCATGTGTAAACGATTTCTAAAGTCATAATAAAATGAAATAGACTATTTTCAGAAGTAGAACGGCCACAGGAGATGAGTACAACATGTTAGGATAGCCACTCATGCCGATCGTTCAGACCATTTCCAGCAAGTAACGATGAGTGACATTAAAGCCGCATTCTCGTCATATAGTGTCTTATTTACAGCTTTTGTTTGTCGTTTACAACTCAAATTATCTACTGCAATTCAGTTTTATTTTCCACTCTGCATAACCTTCCTAAAATTATGAAACGTGTTTATTACATGAATAGAATACATACATTCGCATGAATATAACAAAGTTTATCCAAAGTATATGCCTAACAATAAGTACATACATGAAGAGGAGAATTATATGTGGGAGAGTAAAACAAATAATGCTTTCGAAAAAATTACTTTACTATCATGAGATACGCTGATTTAAGGAATGACGCATTTTAAAATAAGAAAAGTACTAAAGCCATTTTCCATTGTTTTCAATCTTTTATGACCTACTATTTCTGATATGAGAAACAAGGCAAAATCAGGGGTAGCATTTGAATATATTTCTCAGTGGGTATCAATCCTACAAAAGAATTGGTCCTATCATCTATTACATTTACCGAATAAGAAAAACGAAGAATGATTAATATTCGAAAATGTGTATTTTCGCTTGATGACTTGACAGTTGAAATAATGTTGATCATCATGCAGCATGGCAAAGAGTCTGTTCTGATAGTCATACGACATATCATTGAATAGATCGTAATAATAGCTATGGATTAATGTGTAAGATAGATAAAAAAAACTTAACTGGGCACCTGATATTAACAAAAAAAATAGTGAAATAAAATTTGATCTCGAAAATGTACTTCATAGAACTATTCAGGTGTAGTACAGTTAATAATGGTAGATAATATCGGTAAGATTTACCGACTGTATCGTATTAGAAAGTTTGAAATGATGATTTGAAGATGTTTTCGAAACGATGAAGAACGGTGTGAAAACGACAATTGTTTTCGCTAGTACGTAAACGGTCACCATCAAAGATTATGGTTTATCGCCGTTTTCAAGTTGTTTAAAGGCCGTTCTATAGGGCATGGGCATTACAAAAGTGTTGTGTATACTCAGAAGTCTTATATAGAATAAGTAAAATTTCTACATAATTGATTTAAATCAATTTCTGATGTAATTGCACCATTTATATTTGAAAAAAAATTATATTCCAGTTCCAACTTTACTTTAGTTATTGAAGTTTATATTGGTGGCAACTTCATGGGTTTCTAAATAAGAGAAATCCAAACAAATCATAAAAAGTTAGGGCTTCGCGTTGGAATACCGAGAAAGCCCATATCTTCAATATGTACAACTAAAATCAATTAAGAAGTAAGAATATATTAAAGTGAGTTAAAAGGTAAGAAAGATTATGATCGATTCACAAGTATACAAGAGCCAATAATATAAGAATTTTCACCAT